CTTCCTCTTCTTCTTCTTCTTCTTCTTCTTCTTCTTCTTCTTCTTCTTCTTCTTCTTCTTCTTCTTCTTCTTCTTCTTCTTCTTCTTCTTCTTCTTCTTCTTCTTCTTTTCTTCTTCTTCTTCTTCTTCTTCTTCTTCTTCTTCTTCTTCTTCTTCTTCTTCTTCTTCTTCTTCTTCTTCTTCTTCTTCTTCTTCTTCTTCTACTTCTTCTTCTTCTTCTTCTTCTTCTTCTTCTTCTTCTTCTTCTTCTTCTTCTTCTTCTTCTTCTTCTTCTTCTTCTTCTTCTTCTTCTTCTTCTTCTTCTTCTTCTTCTTCTTCTTCTTCTTCTTCTTCTTCTTCTTCTTCTTCTTCTTCTTCTTCTTCTTCTTTTCTTCTTCTTCTTCTTCTCCTCCTCCTCCTCATCCTTCTTCTTTTGCTCCTTCTGCCTTTTAACATCCTCATCATCGTCATTATCATTCCACGTATGAGTTATGTTCTAGGGGCAGATGCCAAATGCCGACCTTTATCGCGAAGATGGCACTTGATGCTGCTGATCTTGATGATGGTAATGTAGATACTGATGATATGATGATAATGTGGTTATGGTGATAGTAGTAGTAATGATTATCATTTCAATGATAATTACGACAATGGGGTAGTGGTGGTTATGATTATAATTATGGTAACGACGGTGAGAGGATGTTGAAAAAGAGAGTCAACAATTGTATGTATTTATATTCATTTATTTTTATATTTCACAACAGTTACGCGGGGAAAATTTTAAAATTAATAACATATGAACGTATAGGACCATTAGTATGCATGTTATGTTAGACATATATTTGTAGACCAGTCGGAACTAGATGAGTGATGTGGCCAATGTTATCCTGACCGCTTTTACTTCCCAGGATTTTACCAGATTAGACTGGGGCGACGTGACTTTAACGTAATTTTGTTTATTAAACAAATCGTTTCAACACGGATTTGAACCAAAGAACGTCGGACCGGCAGGCAAGCGTAAAGCCACTACTACCACTCAGCCACCGCGGTTTATGTTTTTAATAAATGAGAACCAACTCTAAAAGAAATAAAATATTTGTTGTTGTTGTTGTTGTTGCTTTTCTTCTTCTTCTTCTTCTTCTTCTTCTTCTTCTTCTTCTTCTTCTTCTTCTTCTTCTTCTTCTTCTTCTTCTTCTTCTTCTTCTTCTTCTTCTTCTTCTTCTTCTTCTTCTTCTTCTTCTTCTTCTTCTTCTTCTCTTCTACCTTGTATACTCATCGAAGAGTCGGGATGTGAGGGGGGTGGGTGGGGGGGGGGGGGATGTAACCTTTGTTGATGAGCTATGTCAAGAGCACTATTAAGACTAATGTTCATTTTGTAAGGCTGTTCTTAATGCCATCACTCCATATTTTCCGATGTCTTCCACTCGCTCTATACCCGTTGTAACGTTTTAGTGTGGCTCGCTGTGGTATACAGTACCAGGGCATTCTTGTTAGGTGTCCAAACCCCTTCATTTGTTGTTCTTTGATGACCTGTAATACTGGCATTATTCCTAGCATTAAAATATTTGTACACATCAGATACATGCAGCGAGGTCCAAAAACAAAGTAAGAATTCAAACTTTTTATCTGCATGAGAGTATTTTTGTCGTTAATTTTCCATGTGATTTGAATTGAATCAAGAACCGTTTTCACAGCACTCGGGGCATTTCCATAAGCGCCCTGTCACCCTCCTCAGCAGCAAGCACAGAGTTGCAATACCAGTTTTTCTTCTTCTTCTTCTTCTTCTTCTTCTTCTTATTATTATTATTATTATTATTATTATTATTATTATTATTATTATTATTATTATTATTATTATGATTATTCCTCCTCCTTTTCTTTTTCTTTTAACTGTCTAAAGTGGCAATTTATTTGATGACATTAGTGTATGAGATTCGTGTTGTGGAATGGTGTCCGCTTTAGTGATTTTTCATTTAATCACATTCACTTATCTTCTTAGTGGTGATAATGTAAAGACAGCGATGCTTCGAGCAGAGTGGCAAGCTTCACTTGGAAAGTCACGGGTAGTGAGCATACTTTGGATCTTTTCTCCAGGCATGCCGGCATGGTGGGTATTGAACAGGCAAACAGGTTGACTGGATCCGTACCACTGGGTGGTGAATTGATACATGACAAGGTAGATGTGGTCAAGGCCCTTTGGGAACAAGCTGCCGAATCAGAAGCGAAAGAAGATTATTATGGTCTGGAGAGAATGAATCACCTGTGTGTAACCAGAGGGTCTGGCCGGCTCACTACACTCAGAGGAAAGGCAAGACGGACATATAACAAGATTATGACCCGTACCACTAGTACTGGAACTCTGCGCTGGCTGCTGAAGGTGAGGACGGAGCACGCATGGCAATGCCCTGAGTGCTGTGATGTCAACTCTTGACTCAATTCAACTCAACTCTTAGTGGTGATTTGTGTTATGTATTATTGCAGTTTAATAGTAACCATGTTATGTTATTCATCTTTCAAATCGATGCAGCAGAATTGATTTTGTTACTAAGGATAAGGTTAAGTCGGGAGATGTGAATCAGCGTCATTGCACACGGTTATAAACCATAAGTGCTCTGCCACCAGTACGGACAGCTGATACGAAACTGTCCGCCTGTGTCGCATCTAAACGCAACTCCGTAGCTACAGCTACGTTCCTCTATTTACCCCAGAGTGTTAACTCTAGTACCGATTTCCTAGCTAGAGGCTGGGTGAACACCGGGAACCGCCCAGTTTTAAACCCCGCCCGTGGACTGCAGCGAGTCGAAAGCTGTATTTGAGAGCCAGTATCTTATCGACTGCGCTAACGAGGTCCCAATTTAGTTACTGTCTGTAGTTATTGACGTGCAGCTGTCATTCGCCCTACTTTTTCTGGTGTGCGTGTGTGTAAAAGAGAGAGAGAGTAAATAAACTTACTTGTCTATTTTTTTTCAGTGTGCTTTGTTGTTTGCCTCGAATATTCTGGTAGAGAGAGAGAGAGAGAGAGAGAGAGAGAGAGAGAGAGAGAGAGAGAGAGAGAGAGAGAGAGAGAGAGAGAGAGAGAGAGAGAGAGAGAGAGAGAGAGAGAGAGAGAGAGATTGAATTACATGTCTATAGTTGTCAACAAAAAGTCAACCCCGACGGAGTCATATTCTTACACGTAGCGCAAATGTAATAACAAATTTTATATTTCGTACCATATAATATTGCTTTCTCTGTTTTTATGAATTTCCAAGAAATTTATTTCGAAACGTTATTCCATCAATATGTGTGTGTGTGTGTGTGTGGGTGGGTGGGTTGTAGAGTGTTTGGGTGTTGGTGTGTGTGTGTGTGCGTGTGTGCGCGCGCGCGTGTGTGTGTGTGTGTGTGTGTGTGTGTATTAAGTGTCGCTTTAAAATCAAATGATGTAAACACAAACTGGTAATTTCATGTTTATACTTTCATCATCATCATCACCATCATCATCAAATATCTTTCGAATGGCGTGGGCGATAATACTTTTTCTTAGCTTACAATCTCCAGTTATATCAGTTGTTTTCAACCTTCTTAACGCCACAATTTAATACAGTTTCTCCCCGTGTGTTCCGGGGCCCTATTATAGGGAAAACAAGAATAGAACCACTGCCTACCCAAAAGCATGTCGTAAGAGTCGACTAATTGGGTGCTTTCTTCGAAGTCGGAGTGCATCTGCCTGAGAGGCAAGGAACCAGCAGTCTGCATACAAATGAGTCAGATCTGTAAAACGGATGAACACGCAACACTCAGGTTCTGGAACAGGACTGTAGTCTGAAAGTGGATGAACAACCAGAACTTTCCGCCAGTTTACAGTTGGTGAACCAAAAAACAAAAAACAAAAACAAAACAAAAAAAAAAAAAAAAAACAAAAAAAATACAGTTCCAAGTCTTGTGCGACCCCCAGTCATACAATTATTTATGTTGCTACTTCATAACTTCATATGTTTTCCGATGGTCTTTGGCGACCTCTGTGAAAAGGCCGTTTGTGGTTGCGACCCACAGGTTGAGAACATCATCTGAATTATATGTATCAGTTCGTATGCTGACGCATTTCCGGTTAATGCCCGAATTCTTAGTCTGGATTCTTTAATAGTGTTAATATATTTTTCTTTTCAGCCTTCAGCAGGTTTTGTTGTTCCGAACATTAGTCTTGTTCCAGGAGTTGAATTTTGCGTGTACACCCGTTTACATAAGGGCTTATTTGTAGGAAGACTGCTGGTTTCACGCCTCTTACGAGAGGCATTCCGACTTTGAGGCAAACACCCACAACTAGTGACTTTTTACGACATTTTGTTAGGATTCAACAGGTCTGTTCCTTCTTCCCCACAGCGAGGACCCGGATTCCACACGGGAAGCTACTGAATAAACTTCCCCCCCCCCCTTTTTTTTTTTTTTTTTGTAACTTAAACATTGACTTTAATAAAACTATGTTGTGTTCAGATGAGTCAATAATAGACACTATAGCACGGGGGACATTCGAATAAGCGCTTCTTTCCCATCTTCTGCAGCCAGCTTGAGTTCTAGTTCTGATGATACCAGTAGCTGTTTGATTACATGCTGGTTTCGCCTCAACCCTGAGTGTGAAAGTTAAGTTATTCTGACCATGTTAAATTTGATGATGACCCGGAGAGAACGGCGATGGAGGGTACCGTTTCTTAAAAACGATGCAGAGGAGGACCTCCAGGATAGTAGGTACAGGGCATAGAAGATAGACTGGCTATTAAAGCACATAGGGCTGGAGAACTAGTTAAAGAAAGAGATCATTTCAGGGGTTCCGTGACGAAAACGACGTTCTGTGAAGGACCTGAGATTATGATGTTGATGATGATGTCAGCTCATCTCATTCTGTCGCTTTGTCCTAATGTGAGTAATAATTGCTTTGAGACAGCCTCCCTGTATGTTATGGAATTTTCCCTAGGGTCAGATACCGGTGAAATATTTCGTCGATGTCTGCAGTTTGTTTCGTTGAGTATAACAACCATTTGTAGATTTTAACACCGGCACTTCGTTAACTCTGCTACTGTCTGCTTTAAATTTTTGAGGAAGTTTTTGCTAACAATAACAAAAATCCAAAACTTGGAGGCGTGATGGGCATAACTAATATACAGCAGCACCAACTGAATGAGACCTTCAGAATGTGTCATCTCACTGTCTCCAGGATTTCGAGGTCGGATCAGGTAGTAGAGCCTGCTAACTTGGCTTGGAGAATTCATTATAACATACGACACAGACAGTGCGAAGAGCATTTTAGCTACGCGAAACTGAGCACTGGCATGAGCGCCTGTCCTCTTGGAGTCGGTAATTGGTGTCATTTCTGCTGTCTCCAATACCGGAAGACTGCTTAGACGTTTCTTCCATCTTGATCTGTGAATGATGGACAGCACGATCGTGATGAGCATTCCAGTTACAGCAATGAGCGGAACCAGCAGAGTGACCAGTGAGTCCAGGTAGGTCATCATGTGCATGACGGACATCCACTCGCTTCGGACCCAGCATTTCCCTACTTCCTTGTCACTGCGAGGGGAGGCCACTCCCGTCGCTATGGGCGTGATGATGTACAGAAGTAGGGACAACAACAGAATACAGGTGACCACAATGACAGCTCTTCGTTTGGTGCACATGACCATAAAGGATATGGGATGGCAGATTGTGATGTAATTTTCTACAGTGATACAAACAACGTACCATACTGACAGAAAACTAAAGACATAAGTGAAAAACACCAAGCCTTGACAGACGCCATTGAGGTGGTTGACTTGATAGCCAATCGCTTCTAGCCATACAAACAGTAATCCAATGAGAACGCCTGTATCAGAAACGAGCAGGGCGAAGATGTAGATGCTGGAGGAGAAGTTCTTGAGTTCTTTTGAGGTGAACACCAGGCAGGAAACCAAATTGAGTACAAGTCCGGGGAGAATGATGGCTGGTAGGACATAGATCACCATGGTGTTGCCGAATCTGCGAACAAAAGAAAGATATTTCAGTTTTTGATTAACGCAGACATACATACGACCTCGGATATTTACCGGCGAAGGACAACGGGTCAAATCTGGTGGTGTAACCGTTATTTGTGTCCTAATTATAACTTCTTTAGAGGATAGAACAGGGTATCTGAGATTCACCATTTGGCTTGCCATTCAGATTGTAATTTTATCATTCTCAGAGTTTCAAGCCATCAGGTATGTAAAAAACAAACAGACAATTGATTTAAATAATGCGGATACAAACAATACATTGCACAATTTATTGCCAGGCATATTTTGCTGTATCTCATCAGATGCGTTACTACAGAGCTACATCAATATAAAATTAAGCATACAACTGAATAAATTCAACTGAAATGCAAATAGTTTCTCCGATACATTGTCTCTCTATCAAGGCCGCCGGAAGCTTACCGTAGTCACTGACTACTAGGGTAACTTTAAATGTACGACAAATTCCGTCTGTTTACAAAGAAGAGGGTTTTTGATTTTTATTTTTATGGCTTCTACGATTCTCAAAAGTCTCCTGTTCGGAGTGTGGTAAACCACACGGAAAGCAGTGTCTGTGTCAATTATGTGTCCGGAATTCAGTAGATGCCGTCCTATGTAAGAAGCGGGTTCTTTCCTCTTGACTGGTCTCGACACCATAGAAGAATCACTCAGCTGTGTCTGTAGCCATTTCGGAATCTGCTCTACCACTCTGTTTCCAAGCTGTCTCTCCGTTCGACCGATGTAAGTCTACTGGCACTTACATGTAAATTAGTAAATACAATTAGATTTGGTGTACGGAAAAGTAGCTGTTTAATAGGTGGGGTTGGGATAGGAGTGGTCTTGTACCTCACTACTGGAACAGCCGCCAAGAATGTTTGGCCAACTGTTGTTTTCAGTCGGTCCTGCAGACGCTGCATGATGTCATCACCTCGATAAGTAAGTTGGATATATACTCGTAGTTTAGATACTGTAATTTCGTTCGGGGTAGGGTTGGGTGGGGTGCAATGACGTTTGATGAAACCTATGGGGTACCCATTCAGTAGTAATGTTGAATTGAGAGTTTTAATTTCTGCAGCCAGCATGTCTTCGGTGCAAATCTTTCTGGCCCGGTTGAACAAGCTTCTCACTACGCCACGTTTGTACTGAATAGGTATGAACCTGTAAAAGTTTAGATACTGGCCGGTCCATGTTTCTTTTCGGTACACTGATCTTTGAATACTGCCATCCTCTCTACGCGCAATAAGTACATCAAGGAATGGTAAAGTGCCGTCATGTTCGTGTTGTAACGATAATGTGATGTTTCTGCGTGACTGGTTCATGGTGGTATGGAACGCAGTAGCTTGCTCTTTGTCAGCAGTTATTAAAATAACTATTATAATAACTATTATAACTGCTGACAGGTTTTGAGGTTTTGAACAACGGATCAACACTATGGCACGAGTTGTAACTCACAAGTGCTCCGTTCTTCTTCTAACTCAAGTCTGGGCCCGGAGAAGCTCAGAACATTGCACAGACTCTGTAGCACCGGCGAAGATCTTGAAATATTTTGATTAGATTTTCAACTCAAAATTTTGCCCGGGCAGCGCCGTTAGGCAACTCTTTTTGATTTCCAACTGCCAAGGGATTTTTTACGTGCACAACAATGCACACTGGCGTCCAATTTCCCCACCCATAGATCAAGAGAAATTACTAGAAGTCCAAGTCCACGTAAAAAAATCCCAGGATTGAACCCGAAACCTCTAGCATCGAGACGGACACTATGCTTCGAAACCACGCTGCCCCCTAAGTATACTAAGAACATGACTAACTAGGCCCTCCAAAAAATTGTCTTTTTTGGCCATGTCTATCGTACAGTTTGAAATCCACAACTATGGAATACGGACAAAATACATCTCAAACCATTGAAATGGCACCATAGTTTATTTAAATTTATATTTAAAATGTATAGGTCGAATAACAAACACAGCAGCAAATTACAAACACAGCAGATTATAATGCTTTGTCTAGAACACGAACATTTAAGAAAGAGACCAGGTATCTGCTCGGAGGAGACAACCCGAAAGAAAACTGACCACACATATTCTATGGTTCGAACCCTTATGGTGACGGGTTTCTTTCCTTCTTTCTTTCTTTCTTTCTTTCTTTCTTTCTTTCTTTCTTTCTTTCTTTCTTTCTTTCTTTCTTTCTTTCTTTCTTTCTTTCTTTCTTTCTTTCTTTCTTTCTTTCTTTCTTTCTTTTTATAAGAAACTTGGCTTCTAGCACTAACTAGTCTGCAATGGATAATAAGAAAAATCCATGGACGTGAAGAGAAAGAAGTAGTTCATTTAACACCAGCTCTAACCCTAACTCCCCTTATACTATGGGATATCCCTAAATCTCGCGTGATGTTGTGACTTAACAGAAGAGAACCAAACAATGTTCTGTTGCCAGTATATGTGAAGTCGGATCACCGATTTCAATCACACCCCAGTCTGGTCCTGACTCTCTATTGTTTTGTAATCGTCGGAGGCCCCAACATAATTTTACTGTTGAACGGGGCCTCCCGGGATTCTCATCCTGGAGGCGTTAATCCCGCGGACTGTAATCGACATAATTCGATTGCAAAGACGGTGCTTCAAGGAACACTGAGGGGTAGTCGAAGAAGAGGAGAGCAAAAAAGAACGTGGAATGACAACATCAAGAAATGGACAGGACTAAATTATCATACACTTGTTCATCAAGCGGAAGACAGAGGAAGATGACAGGTTTTATGTGCTAGTTAGTTAGTCGTTACGGTTCCGGCATCACAGCAAACGAGCTTAGCCCATAATTGCTCAACCGCCTTTGCCAGTGATTTCAGTCACAAACTGAGTCAGATACGCTAGATACTTTAAGTGAATGCAGTAGCCATACAAAGTGTCCCCAGTCAGCAAACCATACACAATTTGATCTGGCAAACCATAAGGTGCATGCCTCCTTAAACACACTGCGAGACCAGGCGTCATCGTTGAAAATCAACTTCATTCGACAACTAGCTGGGCGATGAATAGATTAAAACTATTCCTGACCATTCTCAACTGCTAGTGCTTCCATCAATTCACCTCCACGACTCTAACGGGTCGAGGGTTATGTTTTTTTATGTTAATCATTATGGAGGCAAAGTGCAATACAGTGCAGTTTCTTTTCCTCGTCGTCTTTCCTACACACACACACACACACATACCGACACACACACAATTAAATTCCAACAACCTTATATAATTGATCTGGTACGTATGACATCGGGCCTTCTTATATAATCTATCTAGCTATCTTCTTTTACCCCACCAGGACATCACACGAGCGATAAACACCCGATTACACAAAGTGCCACCAGGTGGATGAGGATCACCCGTGGAGAGGTCCCAGAAACCGCGTTCAGCCATTAGACCATATTTATGGCAAGGCTATATTGCGGCCGGCTCCTGGCAGGAGCCAGGGTGGGGCTTCAAATAACGAAACATTGCATCCCACAAGCAGATGACAAGATAAGAGTCCTTTTAATCGACTTAAATTACACTCCTTTCACTTCTAAGGATTGATGACAGACAACTCTCCCGGCATGTACACGAAAACGCAATACAACTCATAAAACCGACAGCTCTCTCTCTCTCTCATTTCTTTAAAAACTTCTCAAATCATTACTTTATTCCCCTCTCTAGGGGATACCCAGTCATTATATGTAGTTATAATATCGAGTTTCTGCGGCGTTTCTACTGGTTTAAATTGCAAGACTTGTTTCCACTGCACGCGAGTAAACCATATCTGTACAGATTTTCGACGTTAGATCTGAAAACATTGCACCAAGTTTGTATAGTATGAAGACGTCCCATGTGGAGTATAGATGTATCACACTTATTCCTGTACATGTTTGTCGTAGTAGGTTTTCTAATTACCACATAATCAGCCGGAGGCCTGTATCTTGGACAAAGCATTTAAAAAGGGTTTTTATATGATTAATTTCCCTAAAATTGTTTCGTTTTTCCTAATACATTATATTTTAAATACCTCTTCTTAATGCCGCACCTTCCTCCTCTCTTCTTCCTCTTCTTCTTCTTCTTCTTCTTCTTCTTCTTCTTCTTCTTCTTCTTCTTTTTCTTCTTCTTCTTCTTCTTCTTTCTCTTTTTCTTTTTCTTCTTCTTTTTCTTCTTGTTCTTTTTTCTTTTCTTTACTTCTTCTTCTTCTTCTTCTTCTTCTTCTTCTTCTTCTTCTTCTTCTTTTCTTCTTCTTCTTCTTCTTCTTCTTCTTCTTCTTCTTCTTCTTCTTCTTCTTTTCTTCTTCTTCTTCTTCTTCTTCTTCTTTCTTCTTCTTCTTCTTCTTCTTCTTCTTCTTCTTCTTCTTCTTCTTCTTCTTCTTCTTTTATGCAACTTTATATTAGGACGGATAATCAGTTTCAGTCACACCCCTGTCTGGACCGGAACTGCATGTTATTTGGTCACCGTCTGAGGCTCCGATATAATCCTACTGTATAATTGTTTCAGTCGTGCACAGTTGCCCCATATCTCACTGACATGTAAAAGTCACATCTGTTAAGCTCCGTTATATATTGCAATTATCCTGCAACCAGTTATGAATACTTGATATGCTTTTTGAATTTCTGTTACAATATTTCTCTTTTTTTTTTTAACAGCTATCAGTGAAAGACAAATATAGGCATTGTTTAACTGGCTAAAATTTGTTTTGATTTCTCAATAGGTTGCGGATACAAAATTCTACAAAAGGGACACCTGTCCCTCCCCCACCCCCAACGGAAAAGCCAAAAAAGACGACTTTTTAATTAGGCGTGCTTCCTTTGATGTCGGAGTGCATCCAATTGAGAGACAAGGAACCGACAATATGCATACAAACTAGCCGGTTCAAGCTCTGGAACAAACCCAAAATCCGGAAATGGACGATCAAACAGAACTTTTCGCTGAAGTTTACAGCCCCTGGGCAGTAAGAAAAAAGTGTTAAGC